GTCTGGGGATCTCGGGCGTTTGTCCGCGACTTGTCTGCGGACAAGCTGTCCCCTCGTGCTGCTCCTTGCGTCTTCCTTGGTTTCCCCCCTGACGCCCCAGGGTGGCAGTTCTACCACCCCACCTCTCGCCGTGTTCTGTCCTTCCAGGACGTCACGTTCGACGAGTCGGTCCCCTACTACCGCCTCTTCCCCTACCGCACTCCGTCCCTTCCCCCGCCACCGCACTTCCTTGTGCCAGGTCCCCCCCCGGTAGACCCCCTTCCCCCTCAGGGTCCTGCCCCTTCAGGTGTGTCCCAGGTAGACGCAGTCGAGCCGGTCGAGGTTGCTGGTGACTCTGGTCCTGCTGCGGGTGCTGAGCCTGGGGGTGCTGACTCTGGGGGTGCTACGCGCGTGGGTGCTGAGCCTGGGGGTGCTGAGCCTGGGGGTGCTGCGTCTGGGGGTGCTGAGCCTGGGGGTGCGGAGTCTGGGGGTGCTGAGCCTGGGGGTGCTGCGACTGGGGGTGCTGAGCCAGGGGGTGCTGCGTCTGGAGCTGCTGAGCCTGGAGCTGCGGAGCCTGCGGCCACTGGACCTCCCCTTGTGGCGTCTGGCGGTGCGGGACCTGGCGGTTCTCCGGGTGCTTCGCCTCGGCGGGAGCCCCTCTCTCCACAGGAGCTGCGCGAGTGGTTTGCTCGCCGCTGGAGACGTACTGCTGGAGCTGGAGCTCCTTCGGCTGCTGAGGGTACTTGTGCCGCTGGTCCCGGAGCTGCTGGGCCCTCGGGTCCGCCTGGAGCTGGAGCTGCTGCGGGTGTTGGTGCTGAGACTGCTGCTGTCCTTCCTGGCGGTGGTCCTGCTGCGGGTGCTGCTGGTGCTGCTGGAGGTCCTGCCGCTGGAGGTGCTGTTGGCGCTGGTGCTGCTGCTGAGGGTGCTGTCCCTGCTATGTCTGGAGTCGCCGCGCGGCCTCGGCCGTACTTCGTTCCACTCCTACAGCAGGTTCTTGGTCTTTCTCCTCCTGCAGCGTGTCCACCGCCTGTTCAGTCACAGTCCCAGTTAGAGCCCGCCTCCCCACTTCCTGCTCCCTCTCCTTACACTGGTCCCACTGGAGGTCTTGCTGAGCGTCGTGAGCCTGCGTCTCGTCCTGCGTCGCCTGTTCGTGCTGCTCGCGCTAGTGGTCGCGGTTCGCGTCAGCGTCCTCCTCCTGTCCCTGGCACGCACCGGATGTCTTTGCGTCCGTCCACTGCTCCTCTGCGTGCCCCTTTGCCTTCTCCTCCTGAGTCCTCCCTTCCTGCACTTACCGACCCAGATTCCGACTCTCTTCGTGCTGCTAGTCCTACTGTCACACGTCTCCTTGCTACTGTCGTCACTGACCCCTCTTTTGAGTCCACTGCTGCGTCTGCGCTTGTTGCTGAGCTCGTCGACTTTGCTGCTCGCTGTCGTCTAGACTACGCTGCCGGTCTTGTTGCTGAGTCTGCGTCTGTCTGTCCTCCGTCCGTCGGGGGTGAGTGTGCTCTTGGCACGGACGTCCTTGAGGACAGGCAGGAGGAGTTCCAGTGTCTGGCTGCTGCTTCACCTCATCTCGCGTCCGTACTACTTGCCCCTGAGGGAGACCCGGATGCACTAGACATCCCGACTCCGCGCTCTTACGCGGAGGCCGTAGAGGGTCCCTACTCCTCTCAGTGGCAGGCAGCTATGGATGCAGAGATGGCGTCCTGGAAGTCCACAGGCACCTACGTTGACGCGGTGCCCCCTCCTGGGGCGAACATCGTCAGTGGCATGTGGATCTTCAGGGTGAAGCGGCCGCCGGGCTCTCCACCTGTCTTCAAGGCGCGGTACGTCGCTCGTGGCTTCAGTCAGCGGCAGGGAGTTGACTACTTTCAGACCTTCTCTCCCACCCCGAAGATGACCACTCTTCGGGTGCTGCTGCACATAGCCGCTCAGCGCGACTACGAGCTCCACTCTCTTGACTTCAGCACTGCTTTCTTGCAGGGTAGCCTGCACGAGGAGATCTGGCTGCGCCGTCCACCTGGCTTCACTGGGACTTTCCCTCCTGGCACCCAGTGGAGCCTCCGACGGCCAGTCTACGGTCTCCGCCAGGCACCGCGTGAGTGGCACGACACACTGAGGACTACGCTTGCGGCTCTTGGGTTTGCTCCCTCTACTGCTGACCCGTCGTTGTTTCTGCGCACCGACACTTCTTTGCCGCCGTTCTACATCCTCGTGTACGTCGACGACTTGGTCTTTGCCACAGCTGACACTGCTGGACTAGCCTACGTGAAGTCCGAGCTGCAGAAGAGACACACGTGCACAGACCTGGGTGAACTGCGCAGCTACCTTGGCTTGCAGATCACTCGGGACAGAGCACGCCGCACCATTACCTTGACTCAGTCACACATGGTGCAGCAGGTCCTTCAGCGCTTCGGCTTCACGTACTCCTCGCCTCAGGCCACTCCTCTGTCTACTCGCCACTCGCTCTCAGCTCTGCCTTCGGATGAGTCCGTAGAGTCGAGTGGCCCGTACCCAGAGCTTGTTGGCTGCCTCATGTACCTGATGACCTGCACACGACCTGACCTTGCATACCCTCTTAGCATTCTTGCACGCTATGTTGCTCCTGGGAGACACCGACCAGAGCACATGGCTGCAGCGAAGAGGGTGTTGCGCTACTTGTGCAGTACGTCGGGCATGGGGCTAGTGCTTGGAGGGCGGAGTCCAGTGGTCCTCACTGGGCACGCGGACGCTTCTTGGGCTGACGACCAGGCTACGCAGCGGTCGTCGCAGGGTTACACCTTCAGTCTTGGTTCCGGCTCTGTCTCGTGGCGGGCTACTCGCTCGTCCTCTGTTCTCGGCTCTAGTTGTGAGGCTGAGATCTACGCCGGGGCCATGGCTGCACAGGAGCTTCGCTGGCTCACCTACCTGCTGACTGACCTTGGAGAGCAGCCTCATTCTCCTCCAGTGCTGTACGTAGACAACAAGGCCATGCTGGCCTTGTGTCGAGAGCAGCGCTTGGAGCACAGAACGAAGCACATTGCTCTCCGTTACTTTCTTGCTCGTGAGCTGCAGCAGCGTGGTCAGTTGCGACTTGCGTACGTGGCCTCTGAGGCCAACACTGCTGATGTGTTCACCAAGGCACTTGCGCCTTGTGACCATCAGCGCTTCTGCACTCAGTTGGGTCTTGTACCTGTCTTGCCTCACTTGCTCTCCTCTTGACCTTGCTTGTACTGTCACATATATATACCTGCTCTTGCTTGTCTAGCTCTATATATATATGTGTCCTCCTGCATGTGAACTGGCCTTGTGGCCTTGTAGTTGTGCTCGGACTGTGTGGTGACTTTGTGATCCACCCTGAGCTTGCTGTGCTTTGCGTGACTGGTCTTGTGACCCCTTGTTCTCCCCCACTTTGCCTATGGGGGTGTGTCAGAACATTATATAGCTTATGCTGTTGTGTAGGCTATAGTGGGGTATCCCATAGGGGGTACAACCCAATTAGGGTTTCCTATATGTACTCACTTCATTCATAGTTCATCCATTCTCGTTCTCCTTTCCACACTTATAATTGATGACATTAATTGAACCCTAATCACCTGTTAAAGACTTTAATTGTTTTGACAATTACACTTTATTGCGTATGAGTTTGAAACAGGGTAGAAACATCTGTACATTTTTCAAACCATGCTGAGGTGTACAGTTTCGAAACAACGCAGATAGGCTAGGGAGGTTCGGACTGGCTAACTCAAAAACCTACCGCGAAGTAACTTCGAACTCATCCCACCCAAGTTCCGAAAGTTTGCAGAGTCTACGTGCAAGTTACTAGTCAGCTACTGAACCTACTAGAAACATACTCTCATCCACCCGCACAGAAAGTTAACTTTCCCAAACATACTGCACACCCCCACCCATTTTTGGGATGCAGTGGTAACAGCAGCTGTAACAGCAGCGGTAACAGAGGCAGCAGCAGCGGCACCGGCAGCAGCAGCAGGAGTCATGAGCTCCTCTGCCTCTGCCGCGGCCCCCGCGCCCCCCAAGCTGCTGGCAAACGCGCTCGACCTCCTCGACGCGGCGTCGCGGCTTATCACGGACGTGCGCAGCGGCGTGGATGTGCTTGTAGAGGGGGTTGTGACAGCAGCGGAAGCAGGAGGCGAGGGATGGGGAGGCGACGAGGAGGGCGCGGGCGGAGCGGCGGAGGTGATGGGGGAAGTGGAGAGGCGGATGCGCGGGACCGTGGCGCAGCTGCTGCCCGTTGGTGAGGGGGGAGGTGGGGGGGTGAGGGGCGGAAGGGGGGGGGAAGAGGGGGAGTGGGTGGGGGGGCCTTGTTTATTTTTTATACTAAGCAAGTATAACGGGGGCTGGTTAGGGGAGAGATGTGGACACGGCGAAGTTGCAATTCATTGGTAGGGTGGGGGGCAATGAGGCTGGGGGGCAATGAGGGTGGGGGGCAATGAGGGTGGGGGGCAATGAGGGTGGGGGGCAATGAGGGTGGGGGGCAATGAGGCTGGGGGGCAATGAGGCTGGGGGGGCAATGTGGCTGGGGGGGCAATGCCAATGAGGCTGGGTGCGGAAGTGGATGGGGTTGGGTCAGGAGGTTGGGTGGGGTGGGGGGTGTAGAGAGAACAGCAGCGAGAGGGGAAATGGTGCGGGTGATGAGTAGGGGCGAGCTGATGGGGAGACATGCGGCACGTTGCAATGCAACGCACTGGTGAGGCGAGGAGGGGGGTGGTGGGACGTGCATGGTGGGACGTGCATGGTGGGACGTGCATGGTGGGACGTGCATGGTGGGACGTGCATGGTGGGACGTGCATGGTGGGACGTGCATGGTGGTTACTGGAGGTGCGTCAAGGGGTGACGGAAGGAGAGGGGGGGGGAGGGTGGGGAGAGAGGCGGGACGACAGGATAAGGTGCTTCCACCCTTGCACCTTGCTTCCACCCTTGCACCTTGCTTCCGCCCTTGCACATGCCACTCCCTCCCAGCGGGCACAACTCCCTGTTGCTCTACTTTGGAGCTACAAGTGTGGGTTCACGTGTTCCAGTGTATGCATGTAGTTCCGCACCCCTGTGTCTCGCGAGAGCACCATCCTCACGCCACCACGCATCGTGTCCATCTCACCAACTGCACCCCGTTTCTTTCTCGCTCCTCACATTCGCTCCTCTCATGCGCTCCTCTCATTCGCTCCTCTCATGCGCTCCTCTCATTCGCTCCTCTCATGCGCTCCTCTCATTCGCTCCTCTCATGCGCTCCTCTCATTCGCTCCTCTCATGCGCTCCTCTCATTCGCTCCTCTCATGCGCTCCTCTCATTCGCTCCTCTCATGCGCTCCTCTCATTCGCTCCTCTCATGCGCTCCTCTCATTCGCTCCTCTCATGCGCTCGTCACATTCGCTCCTCTCATGCGCTCCTCTCATTCGCTCCTCTCATGCGCTCCTCTCATTCGCTCCTCTCATTCGCTCCTCTCATTCGCTCCTCTCATGCGCTCCTCTCATTCGCTCCTCTCATTCGCTCCTCTCATTCGCTCCTCTCATGCGCTCCTCTCATTCGCTCCTCTCATGCGCTCCTCTCATTCGCTCCTCTCATTCGCTCCTCTCATGCGCTCCTCTCATTCGCTCCTCTCATGCGCTCCTCTCATTCGCTCCTCTCATGCGCTCCTCTCATTCGCTCCTCTCATTCACTCCTCTCATTCGCTCCTCTCATGCGCTCCTCTCATTCGCTCCTCTCATGCGCTCATCTCATTCGCTCCTCTCATGCGCTCCTCTCATTCGCTCCTCTCATGCGCTCCTCTCATTCGCTCCTCTCATGCGCTCCTCTCATTCGCTCCTCTCATGCGCTCCTCTCATTCGCTCCTCTCATGCGCTCCTCTCATTCGCTCCTCTCATGCGCTCCTCTCATTCGCTCCTCTCATGCGCTCCTCTCATTCGCTCCTCTCATTCGCTCCTCTCATTCGCTCCTCTCATTCGCTCCTCTCATGCGCTCCTCTCATTCGCTCCTCTCATGCGCTCCTCTCATTCGCTCCTCTCATGCGCTCCTCTCATTCGCTCCTCTCATTCGCTCCTCTCATTCGCTCCTCTCATTCGCTCCTCTCATGCGCTCCTCTCATTCGCTCCTCTCGTTCGCTCCTCTCATTCGCTCCTCTCATTCGCTCCTCTCATTCGCTCCTCTCATTCGCTCCTCTCATGCGCTCCTCTCATTCGCTCCTCTCATTCGCTCCTCTCATTCGCTCCTCTCATGCGCTCCTCTCATTCGCTCCTCTCATGCGCTCCTCTCATTCGCTCCTCTGATTCGCTCCTCTCATGCGCTCCTCTCATTCGCTCCTCTCATGCGCTCCTCTCATTCGCTCCTCCCATGCGCTCCTCTCATTCGCTCCTCTCATGCGCTCGTCACATTCGCTCCTCTCATGCGCTCCTCTCATTCGCTCCTCTCATGCGCTCCTCTCATTCGCTCCTCTCATGCGCTCCTCTCATTCGCTCCTCTCATGCGCTCCTCTCATTCGCTCCTCTCATGCGCTCCTCTCATTCGCTCCTCTCATGCGCTCCTCTCATTCGCTCCTCTCATGCGCTCCTCTCATTCGCTCCTCTCATGCGCTCCTCTCATTCGCTCCTCTCATGCGCTCCTCTCATTCGCTCCTCTCATTCGCTCCTCTCATTCGCTCCTCTCATGCGCTCCTCTCATTCGCTCCTCTCATGCGCTCCTCTCATTCGCTCCTCTCATGCGCTCCTCTCATTCGCTCCTCTCATTCGCTCCTCTCATTCGCTCCTCTCATGCGCTCCTCTCATTCGCTCCTCTCATTCGCTCCTCTCATTCGCTCCTCTCATGCGCTCCTCTCATTCGCTCCTCTCATGCGCTCCTCTCATTCGCTCCTCTCATGCGCTCCTCTCATTCGCTCCTCTCATTCGCTCCTCTCATTCGCTCCTCTCATGCGCTCCTCTCATTCGCTCCTCTCATGCGCTCCTCTCATTCGCTCCTCTCATGCGCTCCTCTCATTCGCTCCTCTCATTCACTCCTCTCATTCGCTCCTCTCATGCGCTCCTCTCATTCGCTCCTCTCATGCGCTCATCTCATTCGCTCCTCTCATGCGCTCCTCTCATTCGCTCCTCTCATGCGCTCCTCTCATTCGCTCCTCTCATGCGCTCCTCTCATTCGCTCCTCTCATGCGCTCCTCTCATTCGCTCCTCTCATGCGCTCGTCACATTCGCTCCTCTCATGCGCTCCTCTCATTCGCTCCTCTCATGCGCTCCTCTCATTCGCTCCTCTCATTCGCTCCTCTCATTCGCTCCTCTCATGCGCTCCTCTCATTCGCTCCTCTCATTCGCTCCTCTCATTCGCTCCTCTCATGCGCTCCTCTCATTCGCTCCTCTCATGCGCTCCTCTCATTCGCTCCTCTCATTCGCTCCTCTCATGCGCTCCTCTCATTCGCTCCTCTCATGCGCTCCTCTCATTCGCTCCTCTCATGCGCTCCTCTCATTCGCTCCTCTCATTCAGCTCCTCTCATTCGCTCCTCTCATGCGCTCCTCTCATTCGCTCCTCTCATGCGCTCCTCTCATTCGCTCCTCTCATGCGCTCCTCTCATTCGCTCCTCTCATGCGCTCCTCTCATGCGCTCCTCTCATGCGCTCCTCTCATGCGCTCCTCTCATTCGCTCCTCTCATGCGCTCCTCTCATTCGCTCCTCTCATGCGCTCCTCTCATGCGCTCCTCTCATTCGCTCCTCTCCCTCCTCTCATTCGCTCCTCTCATTCGCTCCTCTCATTCGCTCCTCTCATTCGCTCCTCTCATTCGCTCCTCTCATTCGCTCCTCTCATGCGCTCCTCTCATTCGCTCCTCTCATGCGCTCCTCTCATTCGCTCCTCTCATGCGCTCCTCTCATTCGCTCCTCTCATGCGCTCCTCTCATTCGCTCCTCTCATTCGCTCCTGTCATTCGCTCCTCTCATGCGCTCCTCTCATTCGCTCCTCTCATGCGCTCCTCTCATTCGCTCCTCTCATTCGCTCCTCTCATGCGCTCCTCTCATTCGCTCCTCTCATGCGCTCCTCTCATTCGCTCCTCTCATGCGCTCCTCTCATTCGCTCCTCTCATTCGCTCCTCTCATTCGCTCCTCTCATGCGCTCCTCTCATTCGCTCCTCTCATGCGCTCCTCTCATTCGCTCCTCTCATGCGCTCCTCTCATTCGCTCCTCTCATGCGCTCCTCTCATTCGCTCCTCTCATGCGCTCCTCTCATTCGCTCCTCTCATGCGCTCCTCTCATTCGCTCCTCTCATGCGCTCCTCTCATTCGCTCCTCTCATGCGCTCCTCTCATTCGCTCCTCTCATGCGCTCCTCTCATTCGCTCCTCTCATTCGCTCCTCTCATTCGCTCCTCTCATTCGCTCCTCTCATGCGCTCCTCTCATTCGCTCCTCTCATTCGCTCCTCTCATGCGCTCCTCTCATTCGCTCCTCTCATTCGCTCCTCTCATTCGCTCCTCTCATGCGCTCCTCTCATTCGCTCCTCTCATGCGCTCCTCTCATTCGCTCCTCTCATGCGCTCCTCTCATTCGCTCCTCTCATGCGCTCCTCTCATTCGCTCCTCTCATTCGCTCCTCTCATTCGCTCCTCTCATGCGCTCCTCTCATTCGCTCCTCTCATTCGCTCCTCTCATTCGCTCCTCTCATGCGCTCCTCTCATTCGCTCCTCTCATGCGCTCCTCTCATTCGCTCCTCTCATGCGCTCCTCTCATTCGCTCCTCTCATGCGCTCCTCTCATTCGCTCCTCTCATTCGCTCCTCTCATTCGCTCCTCTCATGCGCTCCTCTCATTCGCTCCTCTCATGCGCTCCTCTCATTCGCTCCTCTCATGCGCTCCTCTCATTCGCTCCTCTCATGCGCTCCTCTCATTCGCTCCTCTCATGCGCTCCTCTCATTCGCTCCTCTCATGCGCTCCTCTCATTCGCTCCTCTCATGCGCTCCTCTCATTCGCTCCTCTCATGCGCTCCTCTCATTCGCTCCTCTCATGCGCTCCTCTCATTCGCTCCTCTCATTCGCTCCTCTCATTCGCTCCTCTCATTCGCTCCTCTCATTCGCTCCTCTCATGCGCTCCTCTCATTCGCTCCTCTCATGCGCTCCTCTCATTCGCTCCTCTCATGCGCTCCTCTCATTCGCTCCTCTCATGCGCTCCTCTCATTCGCTCCTCTCATTCGCTCCTCTCATTCGCTCCTCTCATTCGCTCCTCTCATTCGCTCCTCTCATTCGCTCCTCTCATTCGCTCCTCTCATTCGCTCCTCTCATTCGCTCCTCTCATTCGCTCCTCTCATTCGCTCCTCTCATGCGCTCCTCTCATTCGCTCCTCTCATTCGCTCCTCTCATTCGCTCCTCTCATTCGCTCCTCTCATTCGCTCCTCTCATTCGCTCCTCTCATGCGCTCCTCTCATTCGCTCCTCTCATTCGCTCCTCTCATTCGCTCCTCTCATTCGCTCCTCTCATTCGCTCCTCTCATTCGCTCCTCTCATGCGCTCCTCTCATTCGCTCCTCTCATGCGCTCCTCTCATTCGCTCCTCTCATGCGCTCCTCTCATTCGCTCCTCTCATGCGCTCCTCTCATCCTCTATTCGCTCCTCTCATGCGCTCCTCTCATTCGCTCCTCTCATGCGCTCCTCTCATTCGCTCCTCTCATGCGCTCCTCTCATTCGCTCCTCTCATGCGCTCCTCTCATTCGCTCCTCTCATGCGCTCCTCTCATTCGCTCCTCTCATGCGCTCCTCTCATTCGCTCCTCTCATGCGCTCCTCTCATTCGCTCCTCTCATGCGCTCCTCTCATTCGCTCCTCTCATGCGCTCCTCTCATTCGCTCCTCTCATGCGCTCCTCTCATTCGCTCCTCTCATGCGCTCCTCTCATTCGCTCCTCTCATTCGCTCCTCTCATTCGCTCCTCTCATGCGCTCCTCTCATTCGCTCCTCTCATTCGCTCCTCTCATTCGCTCCTCTCATGCGCTCCTCTCATTCGCTCCTCTCATGCGCTCCTCTCATTCGCTCCTCTGATTCGCTCCTCTCATGCGCTCCTCTCATTCGCTCCTCTCATGCGCTCCTCTCATTCGCTCCTCCCATGCGCTCCTCTCATTCGCTCCTCTCATGCGCTCCTCTCATTCGCTCCTCCCATGCGCTCCTCTCAATTCGCTCCTCTCATGCGCTCCTCTCATTCGCTCCTCTCATGCGCTCCTCTCATTCGCTCCTCTCATTCGCTCCTCTCATTCGCTCCTCTGATTCGCTCCTCTCATGCGCTCCTCTCATTCGCTCCTCTCATTCGCTCCTCTCATTCGCTCCTCTCATTCGCTCTCTCATTCGCTCCTCTCATTCGCTCCTCTCATGCGCTCCTCTCATTCGCTCCTCTCATTCGCTCCTCTCATTCGCTCCTCTCATTCGCTCCTCTCATTCGCTCCTCTCATTCGCTCCTCTCATGCGCTCCTCTCATTCGCTCCTCTCATTCGCTCCTCTCATTCGCTCCTCTCATGCGCTCCTCTCATTCGCTCCTCTCATGCGCTCCTCTCATTCGCTCCTCTGATTCGCTCCTCTCATGCGCTCCTCTCATTCGCTCCTCTCATGCGCTCCTCTCATTCGCTCCTCCCATGCGCTCCTCTCATTCGCTCCTCTCATGCGCTCCTCTCATTCGCTCCTCTCATGCGCTCCTCTCATTCGCTCCTCTCATGCGCTCCTCTCATTCGCTCCTCTCATGCGCTCCTCTCATTCGCTCCTCTCATGCGCTCCTCTCATTCGCTCCTCTCATGCGCTCCTCTCATTCGCTCCTCTCATGCGCTCCTCTCATTCGCTCCTCTCATGCGCTCCTCTCATTCGCTCCTCTCATGCGCTCCTCTCATTCGCTCCTCTCATGCGCTCCTCTCATTCGCTCCTCTCATGCGCTCCTCTCATTCGCTCCTCTCATTCGCTCCTCTCATTCGCTCCTCTCATTCGCTCCTCTCATGCGCTCCTCTCATTCGCTCCTCTCATTCGCTCCTCTCATTCGCTCCTCTCATTCGCTCCTCTCATTCGCTCCTCTCATTCGCTCCTCTCATTCGCTCCTCTCACTCGCTCCTCTCATGCGCTCCTCTCATTCGCTCCTCTCATTCGCTCCTCTCATTCGCTCCTCTCATGCGCTCCTCTCATTCGCTCCTCTCATGCGCTCCTCTCATTCGATCCTCTCATTCGCTCCTCTCATTCGCTCCTCTCATGCGCTCCTCTCATTCGCTCCTCTCATGCGCTCCTCTCATTCGCTCCTCTCATGCGCTCCTCTCATTCGCTCCTCTCATGCGCTCGTCACATTCGCTCCTCTCATGCGCTCCTCTCATTCGCTCCTCTCATGCGCTCCTCTCATTCGCTCCTCTCATGCGCTCCTCTCATTCGCTCCTCTCATGCGCTCCTCTCATTCGCTCCTCTCATGCGCTCCTCTCATTCGCTCCTCTCATGCGCTCCTCTCATTCGCTCCTCTCATGCGCTCCTCTCATTCGCTCCTCTCATGCGCTCCTCTCATTCGCTCCTCTCATGCGCTCCTCTCATTCGCTCCTCTCATTCGCTCCTCTCATTCGCTCCTCTCATGCGCTCCTCTCATTCGCTCCTCTCATGCGCTCCTCTCATTCGCTCCTCTCATGCGCTCCTCTCATTCGCTCCTCTCATTCGCTCCTCTCATTCGCTCCTCTCATGCGCTCCTCTCATTCGCTCCTCTCATGCGCTCCTCTCATTCGCTCCTCTCATGCGCTCCTCTCATTCGCTCCTCTCATTCGCTCCTCTCATTCGCTCCTCTCATTCGCTCCTCTCATGCGCTCCTCTCATTCGCTCCTCTCATTCGCTCCTCTCATTCGCTCCTCTCATTCGCTCCTCTCATGCGCTCCTCTCATTCGCTCCTCTCATTCGCTCCTCTCATTCGCTCCTCTCATGCGCTCCTCTCATTCGCTCCTCTCATGCGCTCCTCTCATTCGCTCCTCTCATGCGCTCCTCTCATTCGCTCCTCTCATTCGCTCCTCTCATTCGCTCCTCTCATTCGCTCCTCTCATGCGCTCCTCTCATTCGCTCCTCTCATGCGCTCGTCTCATTCGCTCCTCTCATGCACTCCTCTCATTCGCTCCTCTCATTCGCTCCTCTCATTCGCTCCTCTCATGCGCTCCTCTCATTCGCTCCTCTCATGCGCTCCTCTCATTCGCTCCTCTCATGCGCTCCTCTCATTCGCTCCTCTCATGCGCTCCTCTCATTCGCTCCTCTCATGCGCTCCTCTCATTCGCTCCTCTCATGCGCTCCTCTCATTCGCTCCTCTCATGCGCTCCTCTCATTCGCTCCTCTCATGCGCTCCTCTCATTCGCTCATCTCATGCGCTCCTCTCATTCGCTCCTCTCATGCGCTCCTCTCATTCGCTCCTCTCATGCGCTCGTCACATTCGCTCCTCTCATGCGCTCCTCTCATTCGCTCCTCTCATGCGCTCCTCTCATTCGCTCCTCTCATGCGCTCCTCTCATTCGCTCCTCTCATGCGCTCCTCTCATTCGCTCCTCTCATGCGCTCCTCTCATTCGCTCCTCTCATTCGCTCCTCTCATTCGCTCCTCTCATGCGCTCCTCTCATTCGCTCCTCTCATGCGCTCCTCTCATTCGCTCCTCTCATGCGCTCCTCTCATTCGCTCCTCTCATTCGCTCCTCTCATTCGCTCCTCTCATGCGCTCCTCTCATTCGCTCCTCTCATGCGCTCCTCTCATTCGCTCCTCTCATTCGCTCCTCTCATGCGCTCCTCTCATTCGCTCCTCTCATTCGCTCCTCTCATTCGCTCCTCTCATGCGCTCCTCTCATGCGCTCCTCTCATGCGCTCCTCTCATGCGCTCCTCTCATTCGCCCCTCTCATGCGCTCCTCTCATTCGCTCCTCTCATGCGCTCCTCTCATTCGCTCCTCTCATTCGCTCCTCTCATGCGCTCCTCTCATTCGCTCCTCTCATTCGCTCCTCTCATTCGCTCCTCTCATGCGCTCCTCTCATTCGCTCCTCTCATGCGCTCCTCTCATTCGCTCCTCTCATGCGCTCCTCTCATTCGCTCCTCTCATGCGCTCCTCTCATTCGCTCCTCTCATGCGCTCGTCACATTCGCTCCTCTCATGCGCTCCTCTCACTCGCTCCTCTCATGCGCTCCTCTCATTCGCTCCTCTCATTCGCTCCTCTCATTCGCTCCTCTCATTCGCTCCTCTCATTCACTCCTCTCATGCGCTCCTCTCATTCGCTCCTCTCATTCGCTCCTCTCATTCGCTCCTCTCATGCGCTCTCTCATTCGCTCCTCTCATTCGCTCCTCTCATTCGCTCCTCTCATTCGCTCCTCTCATGCGCTCCTCTCATTCGCTCCTCTCATTCGCTCCTCTCATTCGCTCCTCTCATGCGCTCCTCTCATTCGCTCCTCTCATGCGCTCCTCTCATTCGCTCCTCTCATTCGCTCCTCTCATTCGCTCCTCTCATGCGCTCCTCTCATTCGCTCCTCTCATGCGCTCCTCTCATTCGCTCCTCTCATGCGCTCCTCTCATTCGCTCCTCTCATTCGCTCCTCTCATTCGCTCCTCTCATGCGCTCCTCTCATTCGCTCCTCTCATGCGCTCCTCTCATTCGCTCCTCTCATGCGCTCCTCTCATTCGCTCCTCTCATGCGCTCCTCTCATTCGCTCCTCTCATGCGCTCCTCTCATTCGCTCCTCTCATGCGCTCCTCTCATTCGCTCCTCTCATGCGCTCCTCTCATTCGCTCCTCTCATGCGCTCCTCTCATTCGCTCCTCTCATGCGCTCCTCTCATTCGCTCCTCTCATTCGCTCCTCTCATTCGCTCCTCTCATTCGCTCCTCTCATGCGCTCCTCTCATTCGCTCCTCTCATGCGCTCCTCTCATTCGCTCCTCTCATGCGCTCCTCTCATTCGCTCCTCTCATTCGCTCCTCTCATTCGCTCCTCTCATTCGCTCCTCTCATGCGCTCCTCTCATTCGCTCCTCTCATTCGCTCCTCTCATTCGCTCCTCTCATTCGCTCCTCTCATTCGCTCCTCTCATTCGCTCCTCTCATGCGCTCCTCTCATTCGCTCCTCTCATTCGCTCCTCTCATTCGCTCCTCTCATGCGCTCCTCTCATTCGCTCCTCTCATGCGCTCCTCTCATTCGCTCCTCTGATTCGCTCCTCTCATGCGCTCTTCTCATTCGCTCCTCTCATGCGCTCCTCTCATTCGCTCCTCCCATGCGCTCCTCTCATTCGCTCCTCTCATGCGCTCGTCACATTCGCTCCTCTCATGCGCTCCTCTCATTCGCTCCTCTCATGCGCTCCTCTCATTCGCTCCTCTCATGCGCTCCTCTCATTCGCTCCTCTCATGCGCTCCTCTCATTCGCTCCTCTCATGCGCTCCTCTCATTCGCTCCTCTCATGCGCTCCTCTCATTCGCTCCTCTCATGCGCTCCTCTCATTCGCTCCTCTCATGCGCTCCTCTCATTCGCTCCTCTCATGCGCTCCTCTCATTCGCTCCTCTCATTCGCTCCTCTCATTCGCTCCTCTCATGCGCTCCTCTCATTCGCTCCTCTCATGCGCTCCTCTCATTCGCTCCTCTCATGCGCTCCTCTCATTCGCTCCTCTCATTCGCTCCTCTCATTCGCTCCTCTCATGCGCTCCTCTCATTCGCTCCTCTCATGCGCTCCTCTCATTCGCTCCTCTCATGCGCTCCTCTCATTCGCTCCTCTCATTCGCTCCTCTCATTCGCTCCTCTCATGCGCTCCTCTCATTCGCTCCTCTCATGCGCTCCTCTCATTCGCTCCTCTCATTCGCTCCTCTCATTCGCTCCTCTCATGCGCTCCTCTCATTCGCTCCTCTCATGCGCTCCTCTCATTCGCTCCTCTCATGCGCTCCTCTCATGCGCTCCTCTCATTCGCCCCTCTCATGCGCTCCTCTCATTCGCTCCTCTCATGCGCTCCTCTCATTCGCTCCTCTCATGCGCTCCTCTCATTCGCTCCTCTCATTCGCTCCTCTCATTCGCTCCTCTCATTCGCTCCTCTCTTGCGCTCCTCTCTTGCGCTCCTCTCACGTGCCAGGCACGCAGCTAGCGCAGCTGGGCGCGTGGGACGCACACGGCACGCCTTCCCCACCCGCCACCACTGCAGGTGGAGGGGAAGGGACCGAGAGAGAGGAGGGAAATGCGGCATCTGGATTGCATGGTGATTCGAAAGAGGGAGGGGAGGGAGTAGGAGGAGGGGAGGGAGTTGGTCGGGATGGAGTTTCCAGGAAGGTACTGGGGGGAGTGAGGCAGGCGGCGCTGGTGTGTGGGGATGGCATGCTGGTGAGCTACGCGTGGAAGCGCCACATCGCTGCTCATGCCGCCACCACCGCTGCCAAGCGCACCGGGTGAGCAGGGAGGGGGGAGGGCTGTGTGTGTTTGTGTGTTTGCTGTCGTGTTTTCTGTCTCAGAGGCGCCCTCCCCTCTCTGCGCCCATCGGTTCCTCGTCCCTGCATGCATCTCGCCGTCCTCCTCCAAACCGAATGCGCCGCTGCTCCCCTGCGTTCCCATCTCACTACCACACCACGGGCCACGGCCACTTCATGCATCTTGTTCAACTATTCTTCTTCTCTTCCCTCTCCCCATTTCCCCTTCCCCCTGTCTCTCCATCTCCCCCGTTCCCTCTCTTCACCTCTTCCCCGTCACCCCTCCCCCCACCAGAGTGGCGCTCGCGGCATTTCAGCGCCACAGGCAGCGCTGCTTCCCGGCCCTCGCGGCGCCGCCTCTCACGCTCGCTGCACTCGCCCGCCACCTCGCCCACCGACCCACAGCCTGCCCTGCTGACGCCACGGCACTGCCTGCTGCTGCTGCTGCTGCTGCTGCTGGCAGTGGTGGCGGGGGTGCTGCCGGGCTGCCACACAGGCCCACCAGTGCTGCCGCTGCTGCTGAGGCTGCTGCTGCTGCTGAGGCTGCTGCTCATGGCTCCACCGCCTCTGCTGGCGCGGCTGCCGTGAAGGTGGAAGGGGCAACAGTGGGTGGGGGGGAGGGGCGGGAGGTGGGGGTGGGGAAGGGAAGGTGCAGGTAGCAGGTGGTGATGAAAGTGGGGAAGGCACATGCGCTGCCACCGATGCTGCCACTGCCGCTACTGCCCCTCATGCTGCTGCTGCTGCTGCTGCTGCTGCTGCTGCTGCTGCTGCTGCTGCAACAACACGCTCAGAAGGAGCAGCAGAAGCCACCTCCGTCAACACAGGTGCTTCTGGGGAAGGTACTCCTGCAGCTGCTGCCGATACGCCTGCTGCCGCTTCCGAAGCTGGCCGCGATGGCCCGGGACCAGGGTTGGGCCGAGCCACCCCACCAGCAGGCTTGGGGGTGATGGGGGCGCTAGGTGCGGTTGGACTCGGTCGGGGGAGGGTGGGGGGACTGGTTCGCGGCCTTGGGGCGTTTGGGCGGATGGGGGGGATAGGAGGAAGTATAGGGGGGAGTATTGGGGGAATGGGGGCAGGGGCGGGGGGGGGTGTGGGGGGGGGGAATGCAATGGAGGCGGATGACCTGGGGGGGGGCGATGAGATGATGATGCTGGGGGGGGACTTTGGCGGCGAGGACATGGACGTGGATGTGGATGGGCGCGGCGCGGCCGATGGGGGGGACGGGGGAGGCGCTCAGGCAGAGGAGCAGGAGGCAGGTGGGACGGAGGGAGAGGGAATGGGAGGCGTGGAGAGGAATGAAGGGCGAAGGCCGGTCTCTGGTACTGGGGAAGGAGGTGGGGAAGGGGGAGAAGGGCGTGGGGTGGAAAAAGCAGAGGGGGCAGGGGCGAAGGGAGGTGAAGGGGGGAATGAAAGCAAGGTAGGTGTAGGTGGTGATGGTGGTGGTGGATGGTGATGGTGATGGTGATGGTGATGGTGATGGTGATGGTGATGGTGATGGTGATGGTGATGGTGATGGTGATGGTGGTGGTGGAGGGGAAAGCGCAGGGCGTGCGGGTGGGGTGACAGGAAAATCAATGAGTGGTGGTGATGTTGGCGCTGGCAGTGTGGGTGGCACTGGCGACACTGATGCTCCTGGTGCTGCTCATGCGCATGCTGGCGCAGCGGGAGCCAAGGCCGTGAAGAGGAGGCGGGGCGAGGGGGGTGGCGGGGAGGGCGGCATGGAGGGGAGCAGCGACCCCGTGCTGCGCGGTGTGCTGCAGCGCGTGCGCGTGGCGTGCCCCTCCTTGCACCTCGCCCTGCTGCGCCGCTCCTCCTGGCCGACCCACCTCATGGGGCACACCGGCACATGCGCTGCTGCTGTGCATGATGGGGGGGGGAGGGCAGGGCGAATGGAGAGGGGGGAGAGAGACGAGGGAGGAGAGAACAGGGAGAGGGAGAAGGGGCAAGTGAAGAAGGAGAAAGTGGAGCAGGAGCAAGGAGAGGCGACAGAAGAAGCACCCCCTTCAAGAAAAGCTCCTTTAGAACTGCAAGCCTCGCCCGCTCAAAGACGAGGGCTGGGGCAAGGGGGAGCCCAGGTCGTGTGTCCTCCAGGAGTGATTGAGGCGAGGGTTCCTGGAGCCTTCCGTGCAGTGATCTCCCTCATGCCAGCTGGCAGCTCACGAGTGGATGGGGTCGCTGTGTTTGGGACAAACGAGGTGAGTGTTTGCCGCGTGTGTGCCGAGTGTGCCTCGAGTGTGTGCCGGGAATGCATCACCCTCCCTGCTATGTCGGGAAACCGTTCGGCGTACGAGCTATATGCCACCGTACATACGTGATACGCTGATTTCCAGCATACAGAAAAACCTGGATTACGGAGTGTCGTGCAGTTAAAAAAATATCTTCAGGCCGGCGAAAAGGCTTCAGTGGAGTGGAGGTGAGACATGGTTTGTGTTTGGCACGGAATACCAGATGCGCGCTCTGGGCGCGAATCACTAGACCCGCACACCTGCAAGTGCTCACATGCTTGTGGGGCTGTGTGACATTGGGTGGGGGAAATATGGATGCATTCAACACACGAGTTTGTGCCTTGCAAAAGTGTGCAATTTGTACGCATTTTTTTTTTCATTAATTTGCTTTTTTCAACGGGCTGCTCGACCGAGCATATCGCATTTTTCTGCGCGAATTTTCGTATATGCGATAACGAATACGCGTGATTTGTTTCTTACCATGCGATTCATTTTCAACATAGCCCCCCCTGTCCCATCCCCATGCGCCATGCGATGCTAGGTGGGGCCGCACGTGCATGCATGGGGGCAGTCACACCACATGGCCTTCCAGCTCATAACTGTGAGTAACCTGCCATGCAGCGATGCCATGCAGCGATGCCATGCAACGATGCCATGCAACGATGCCATGCTGCGATGCCATGCTGCGATGCCATGCAGCGATGCCATGCAACGATGCCATGCAACGATGCCATGCTGCGATGCCATGCTGCGATGCCATGCAGCGATGCCATGCAACGATGCCATGCAACGATGCCATGCTGCGATGCCATGCAGCGATGCCATGCAGCGATGCCATGCAGCGATGCCATGCAACGATGCCATGCTGCGATGCTGTGCAGCTTGACCTGTCCATTATCCAAATTTCTCCTACTACATGTTGTATTATCTTTTATACAACATGCATATGCTAGATTAGGTGTAGGGCTGTTGGGTGTACCTTCAACCACAATTTGTGGGTGAAGCTTGGTTGGGTTCCCAACAATTATTGGACCTCCAATTATGTTGGTCCAACCAATCCAACAATGATTGAAGCCTCCAATAATTGTTGGCCAGGCTCATGCTTTGCCATCTTCTTCACCTATGTATACCGTGGCTCCTTTTGAGCCCATTATCGATTCAATGCTTGCTTCTTTCACTACACTCTCTCTTTCCATCTCTTTTCCCTCCCTCTGTCCTACCCTCGTTTCACCTCTCTCTTCTCGTCTTCGATCTCCTATCTCTCCCCCATCAGGCACAAGCACGGCAAGCGGTGCACAAGCTGCGCTGTGCTGCCTCAACGCATCCCTCCGCAGGAGCATGCAGCACTCCGCCTCTGCAAGGCCTGCTGGTGAGACCTCTTCAACCCGCTCCCTTCCTCGTGTGAGCCCGTGAGCTGGAACTATTCATGAGGTAGCGTTACCTCTAGGTTGGACTGGGCTGTCAAGGGCTAGGCTGGAAGAAAGGGGCGACAAAATTTAATGAAATTGCCTGAAATTGGCTTGGTCGTTGGAACTTCGGGTAACCACGTTAGGTGACCGTGAGCATCAAAGGTTGTGAAGTGGGCAAGCCATCCTTGAACTTGCAACACACGAGCCATCCTTGAACTTGCAACACACGAGCCATCCTTGAACTTGCAACACACGAGCCATCCTTGAACTTGCAACACACGAGCCATCCTTGAACTTGCAACACACCAGCCACACCACCACTATTATTCCAGCAAGCGCCACCACTAGGTGGCGCGGTTCCGCCCAACGCAGCCCTTCCCTCGGCTAACATGTTCGCTGCCCATTCCCTCGGCTAACATGTTCGCTGCCCATTCCCTCGGCTAACATGTTCGCTGCCCATTCCCTCGGCTAACATGTTCGCTGCCCATTCCCTCGGCTAACATGTTCGCTGCCCATTCCCTCGGCTAACATGTTCGCTGCCCATTCCCTCGGCTAACATGTTCGCTGCCCATTCCCTCGGCTAACATGTTCGCTGCCCATTCCCTCGGCTAACATGTTCGCTGCCCATTCCCTCGGCTAACATGTTCGCAGCCCATTCCCTCGGCTAACATGTTCGCTGCCCATTCCCTCGGCTAACATGTTCGCTGCCCATTCCCTCGGCTAACATGTTCGCTGCCCATTCCCTCGGCTAACATGTTCGCTGCCCATTCCCTCGGCTAACATGTTCGCTGCCCATTCCCTCGGCTAACATGTTCGCTGCCCATTCCCTCGGCTAACATGTTCGCTGCCCATTCCCTCGGCTAACATGTTCGCTGCCCATTCCCTCGGCTAACATGTTCGCTGCCCATTCCCTCGGCTAACATGTTCGCTGCCCATTCCCTCGGCTAACATGTTCGCTGCCCATTCCCTCGGCTAACATGTTCGCTGCCCATTCCCTCGGCTAACATGTTCGCTGCCCATTCCCTCGGCTAACATGTTCGCTGCCCATTCCCTCGGCTAACATGTTCGCTGCCCATTCCCTCGGCTAACATGTTCGCTGCGACCGCCGCTTCTCTTTCCACTGCTCTTCCCGCCGCTCCGCTAGGCGCTCCTTGTGCTGAGGGGCAGACAATGGGGTGGAGGAAGAGGAGAATCATTTATGATCCACTCGTGCCTGCTGATCCACTCGTGCCTGCTGATCCACTCGTGCCTGCTGATCCACTCGTGCCTGCTGATCCACTCGTGCCTGCTGCATTTTCTCTGATGTGCTTCCACCAGGAATGGCTGCACTCCTTCCGCTCCCTCTTCCAGCAGCCCTGCAGGTAAGGCAGTGCAGGTAAGGCAGTGCAGGTAAGGCAGTGCAGGTAAGGCAGTGCAGGTAAGGCAGTGCAGGTAAGGCAGTGCAGGTAAGGGAGTGCAGGAGTGGCGGTTGTGCAAGTGTGCACGTGTTTCTGTTTTCCCTGTACGCTCCCTCTCTGCGTGCATGCACCAAGCAGTCACTACCGCGTTAGTTGTTCTCTAACCCATGCCTATCCACTGTCACCCTCCACCATCCTTCCACTCATTTCCGTCTGCCTCCCATACCCCCTTCCCTCAGCCCCTGTGCTGCAAACACTGCTGCTCTCCCCTACTTTCTGCCTTGTTCTGTCTGTGCTGACGGGGGTTTTGTCTCATCCACATTTTCTCTCTTTTCCCCACCGCCTCCCCAACCTGCTCATCCCATGCGCGCACCACAGCGCGTGCCATCGCATCATCGCGCTGCACCATCCCTCCCGCCACCTGCTGCCGCCTGCCATCCGCCCCTTGCCTGCCCTCGCCTCTGCTGCTCCCGCTGCGTCTGCCAGTGCTGACACTGCCTCTGGTGCTGCTGCCACTCATGCCTCTTCCGCTCCTGACGCTCATGCTGGCGCTGATTCAGGAGCTGTTCAAAGGGGAGACTTGCTCGTGGAGAGAGCAGGCATGGGGAGCGAGGAGCCAGTGGGAGTGGTTGCATGGCACTTGGGATGTGCGATTCCTTGTGTGTAACACCATACATGCCTACAAATATGGAAGGTTCGACTCATCTGGAAGGTCGTTGGGGCAAGTCTCTTGTCGTTGCAATCAGAACCTACACAGAAGTCATTGTGTAAATTATTCTGTTTCTTTGAGAATCAATGTCTAGCTTATGGATCACACCATATCCAAATGAAGGCCCTAAATTAGCTACATGAGAGATTTCTTCCACCCTATCAACACACCCCACTGCAGCCTTCACAAGATTGTCGTTATCCCAATTTGGGTCCTTACCTGACCCTTCTACCATCCCCTCTCCGCAACTACCAGCAAACCCCATCATCATGCCAGCACTAACACAACCTCCACGTGTGCCTGACATGATATCAAGCCCATGCCCATCCCAGATTCCTGCCACTATGAGCAGGAGAAGGTGGAGTTGAGTAGAGCCCTCACTCGTCATCTTCACCTTCCCCTGCTGCTGCATCCGCTTCCACAGGTGCTGCTTCCTCGCCTCCTGCCTGCTCTTCCCCCACCACTTCAGCAGCAGCATCAGTCGCTTCCCCTGCCACAGCTTCAGCACCCTCTGCACCCTCTGCGGGCTCTGCGGCCTCTGCGGGCTCTGCGGCCTGTACAACCTGTGTGGGAGCAGCATCTTCCGCGTGCCCCTCAGGCACAGTGTCAGCAGCATCGGCAGCATCGTCAGCAGCAGGGCCAGCATCATCATCAGTATCAGCAGCAGCAGAGGCCGCAGCAGCCGCCGCAGCCTCAACAGCAGCAGCGACAAAGTCGTCAGCATATGGCTCGCTCTCCCTCTGCCCGTCTTCCTCAACCACCGCCACAGCAGCCCCATGTTCCATCTCAGGGTCCGTCTCCCCATGCCCTCCCCTGTTATCGTCGCCTGCATCACCTCCCATCCCTTCATTCCCGCCCTCCTCTGCCTCGCCACGCTCACCAGCGCCACCCCCTCCTTCACCTGCCAGGCCACTCGCCACAGTCTCTGCCTCCTCGTGCTGCATCTGCCCGCCATCCGCTTCATCCTCCTCTTGCTGTGCCTGCCTCTTGTGCGCCTGCTCTTCCTCTTCCCCCACCTCCACCTCCTCCACCTTCCTCTTCGCCCCAACCATCCCCTCCCCAGTAACCCCTCCTTCCACTCCTTCACCTAGTGCGTTCGCCTGCTCGATTGCGCCACCACCGTCGCCCCCCGCCTCTTCCCCGTGCCCCGCCACCCCCTCACCCGCGGACGTCCCCTCACCCTCTCCTGGAGCACCACCGCCGCTGTCTCCCACCTCCCCCGCCCCACCCGCGCCGCTCATCGCCACCTTGTCCCACACCATCGGCTGCTCCTGCGCCGCCGCCACCTCCGCGCTGCGCATCGCCTCGCGCAGCCACGCGTGTCGGTTCCGCGCCGCGTTCGGCTGCGTCCACGCCAGCTGCCGCCGCCCCTGCCGCCCTTGCCCCGCGGCGGCAACCGCACCGTACCCAACGGCGTCAGCGCGCGTGTCCACCGCGCCCATGCCGCCCGCCGCGTTCGCTGCGCCGATCTGCGCGCCGTGCCCCCCCGCCGCGGCCGCAGTGGCGGAGAAGGATCCGGTGGGCTCGAGAGTGATGCCCGGGTGAACCACCATCTCCGACCCCACGGCGGGTGGCGCCAGCATGGCGGCGGCGCCGGCTCCGCTGGGGTCGTACTCCGCCACGGGCACGGCGACGGCGTGCTGCATCCCCGCGCCACTGCCGCGCCCGGACATCCCCGCATACCAGTTCTTCCGCCCCCACTTGTGCCGCCCGCGCGATCCGAGGCCCGACGTGGGGCCCACAGGCGCACTCGCCGCCTCCCCGCCATGAGCGGCGCCCAGAGCGCCCGCCGCGCGCTCGGCGGCGAAGACGGTGGTGTAGGCGACGGGGAGCGTGTCGTCCGCCACGCCGTCGCGCCCCATGGACGGACTCACGGACGCGGGCGCGAAGCGCAACGGCCGCGCGGGCGGGTGCAGCGGGCCGACGACGCCCGCCTTGCGGCGATTCTCGAGCTCCGCCTCCCACGCTCCGCGCAGCGCCGTCTCGCGCTCCATCCAGCCGGGCATGGCTCGGCGCGGCGCGAAGAGGCGGTCGATCTCGGAGTAAGCGGCCTCGAGGAAGAAGGAGACGACGTCCATCTTGGTGACCGTGATGCCGCCGCTCGCCAGCGACATGCACTCCTTGAGACCCTCGATCAGCGCGAACAGCGCGGGCGACAGCCGCACCACCGCTTGCTTGCCGTCCGCGCGCTTGTGGTAATCGCCCTTCCGCCGCATGGTCGCGGTTAGAATGCCCGCGTTGCCGCCCATGGCGGCGTTGGGATCCATTCTGATGCCCGCGTACTGAGATGGGTCCATTCGACGCGCGGTTCGTAAAGTTGAATCCAGAAAACGGCTGCTGCTGGAGGGGAAATTATTGAGTGATCCGGTAACTAAAGTTACGTGGTTGGAGATGCAGATTGCGAGTGAGGATTCGTTGCTCCAGAAGATGCGCTGACAGCGAGCAACTGCGACAGTGGGAAACTACGAGGGAAAACGAGCGGTTACCAAGAAACGCGGAGTTGGGAGGAAGCAAGATATCTGTAGGAGTGTTGTATCTGCAGTTACCAAGGGCGCCTGGCTTGTCAAGTTACGGGCTAACCCTAGGGTTTCCCTCAGGTGCTTCGCCTCGCGTTACCCAACTAACCAGCTGTGGAGTGATGGCGAGGAGATGTTGCCTCCTTTCCCCGCAGATGTTGCACGGAGGATGTTTGTGGGGCACTCGGACGGGGAGGGGGAGTATCTGGATTGGGGGGAGCGGGATGTGTTCGCGTGCGGGGAGGGTGTGTGGTTGGCGTGGCGGAAGTGACGATATTCGAGAAAAAGGCTCCACTCCCTAATGACTGACCAGACGATAAGGTCGCTGTCTACGATGCCGTGCGAACATCTTTTGCCGCGATGTAATACACAGCCAATAGGAAATGCTGCACGGAGTAATAGGCGACGATCACGACGGTAATGGATGGGAGGGCCTTCGCGAGAATCACACATGTCTTCGCGCACCGGAATTTCAGCAACGATACCTCGATCTGTCATAGGCGTTCTGAACCAATCAGAAAGCGGCTCGAGCATTTCAAAAAAACCCCCCTAAGAGATCACAAGTGAGGTTGCGTTACAGGATCGATGTGTGGGGTGTACAGCACCACGATTGTATCCCTGTCTCGTTAAAATTCTAACGAACTCACCATATTGGTCGCCACGATCGTGTCCCCACGATCATGTCCCCTCCGCTTGGCGTGATCATGCGATTGGTACGTGCTGCGATCAGAAGTTGATTGAACTCAGGATCACCTCAGGAAGGTTCGCACAGGACTAACTAGTGGTGGTGGGCCCTTGACCTCAATAGCAGAGTGAATGTAAATGCTTGAGATGATAAAAACATGCAAATACAACACTATAAAGAAGAGTACAGGGGAATACCAATCGACCTAGCAAGCCATGTACTCTAAGGGGTACATTCCCTTATTACAGCGAATTCCAACCATGCGACTCCAGACAGTTACGAAACTGTACGGGCAGAATCCTCGCCACTGCTGCTGCCTGATGCTGTCTGCCCGACGGTCCAGATGCTTTCGTAACCGTGTGACCCTTCGTGTCACATCCGCCCTTTCGTCTTCAGCCTCGGTACTGCATGCTTCGATTGCTACGGTAAGGAGTGCACAGTAGTTAATTCATTTTCCACTTTTCGTAACACCCCCCTTCACTCCTGGCCGTAGCAGGTCTTGACCCGCTTGACTACCCCGCTGAGTTCGGAGCAGTGCTGGTACTGCTGACGCGGCAGTTTCTTCGTGAGGAAATCCGCTACCATGTCACCCGTCGGGCAGTAGGTTAGGTCAACCTTGCCCTTGTCAGCTTCGTCCTTGACGAAGAAGTACCGTAGCGCGATGTGCTTGGTGCGGTTAACGAATCCAGGTTTCTTCGCGATTCTGATCGCACTCTGGTTGTCGCAGTGCAGGCGGAAGTTCGCCGAAGCTGGAATTTTTGCCTCTTGCAGCACTTCTTGAAGGTAGAGACCCTCGTGAACAGCTGCTGTTGCTGCGATGAACTCTGCTTCCGTCGACGACAGGGCAACCAACTCCTGCTTTTGTGAATTCCAGGAGATGGGGCCGCTGGGCTCGAGGCAAAAGAGGAAGCCTGTCCTGGACCGTCGATTGTCGGGATCGGCGGCATGATCAGCGTCCACGTAGCCGATGAGGTTGAAGGATGCGGTTGGGATGGTGGAGTAGCAGAGCCCAACATTGGGCGTGGAGATGAAGCTGTTGGGCTACTGGGCGAAGACCCCGCTTACTGACGCCTTCCGTTTTATGCAACTTGGAAAAAGGGAGTACACTTTTCATATGAGAGCAAAGGGGGTGAGCACCAGGATCGATCGCGTGCTGGTGTCGCAGCCGCTGCTGTGCAAGCTAGAGGAGGTGCGGCAATGCAGACATAACGAACAAAATGACAGATCACTAGAACGCGGTGATGGTTGTGCTGAGTCGTCGGCGGCGATCGATAGGGGACCCGGCATCTGGCGTTTAAGAGCTGCACAGGCGAAAAAGAGAGGGGTCAGGAATCGGGTGGAGCAAGTGCTCAAGGACGCGGGCGGAGACCTTGGTGTGCTGTTGCCCAGGTTGACGGCGTGACTGCGGGCGTACACACGGGAGGAAAGAAAGAGAGTCGGGGTGACCAAAAGACGCCTGGAGAAGGAGGTGAGGATCTTCCGGTAGCGGCTGTCGCAGAACTCGAACTGTCAGCGGACGGGAGCAATCCTGCTTAAAAAAGAGGAGTTGCTTGACGCGTATGAAAAATCCACCAAGAGAAGCTGCAAGAGTGGCTCGGGGTGAAGGCGGAGCTGGACTGGGAGACGACAACAGGCTTTCTATCCGGGAAATTAAAAGTGCGAAAGGCTAAGACGAAGATGAAAGCTGTTCAATTCTGTTAGAATGTAAGAACGAGAATGATGGACTAGCAAGAGAATGAGAGTACAAGTATGACAAA